CCCCCCCCGTTAAATAGATTTCTAATTACAAATGAACTTACTAAGTAGACATCTTAAAGGAGCAAGGTGGAGAGTAGAGTGCCCATTCCTTTGGCAAAGGGGCAGGGGGTCGGACCTAATGATCTGTTTAGGTCCCTCCCGACTCTAAGCACTGTGACACTATGAAAACATGTAGGAGTGAACTAGGTTTTAAAATCCCTAAAATCCTAATTTACTCAAAGCATGAGGGATTTGGGCTAGTTAATAAATGAGAGTTGTGCATTAAGAAGCTTTTGGTCTTTGTGTTCTCCGGGAGGCAAAATGTATAAATATATACCCCCAAGGGGTCATTAACTGCCATAAGGAGGGGAGAGGCACAACCTTACCCCAACCAGAAGTCCAGTTCTGTCTGAACGTGCATACTGGGATGCCCGGCGGTATGACCGAGCCTGGGAGGTTGCCATGTGTGAGATCTCCTTGCCCAACCTATAAAGAAATTTCTGGCATCATTAACTTTTGTGGAGTCCTGCTGTACCCTGTCCAAAGCCTGGGATTGATGCAGGGACCATTTGCCCCAAGTACTCGTGGAGGGTGACATTCCTTGGGGAGCGGTGTTAATGAGGGTAATGCATGGACGAATGCTATCAAGATGATGAAAGAAGCTGGATAGCCGTATGCAGGAAACAGCTCACTAGAGGGATGCATTATCGCTCTTCCTAAATCTGTGGGTTTCCCCTCTAGCTGTTGGGACTTCTGCCTGTTTGGAGGGGCAGATGGCGTAAAACATTTGGGGTTTCTCAAATCAGTACTTTCTGACAAAACTCTGTTTCAGTGGAAAATGTCCAAAGAGTTCTGCTCACTGAACAGCTACAAAAGAATATTTGCTCAGCCGATGCAGCCAGGTTGCATTTTTAGATGTAAAATGACTGCAATTGACTTTTCTCTCTCTTTGCCTGTGTTTTGAATTAATGCCTATTACCTTAATAACAACCCACCTCTTTTTCCTTTTATTTTTTATTTTTTACTCATTTCCACACATTTCATTACAAAACTCTATGCAGCACGAGCTGCCTAGAGTTGTCCCTGTAGGTAGTCTGTTCACACAAGATGGGGCCTTGTACAGTGCTGAAATTAATTATCTTTCCAGCTGTCACACAGTAATACAGCCATGTTTCTCTGCCATCCTGGGAGTTAACACTTGCTGCTGTTTTCTAATGGGACAGGGGTTTATGGATAACAATGACCAGTATGGTGTGCAGAATCCCAGCATTGCACCCCACCATCTGGAAGAGTAGCACAGGCAGCTGCTGTAATTTTATTATGAATTATGCATCTGACTTGTTAACACTCCTTCTTCAGGAAATACTGATCAGTTAATGTAAACCTGGAATTCATTAGTGCCAACTATTGACCTTTCTTTGAGGAACATAATGGTGTTATACCTGATGCTTTAATAAAATCCTCTGATTTAAATTTAAGAATGTCTAGGAAAGTAGACACAATGCCAGCTACTGATATAGCCAAATGAAAGAAGCTGAAAACAAAAACTTTTCAATACCAAACAGGTGCTCTGTTATTATTTCATGCTAACGAGGTGGAAGCATTCTCTGCTGGACATCCTGGGAAAGCCACCTATTATCTCATTGCTTTGTTCTAAATACCGCATTTTAGCATTAAATGCAGCAGCCACAGGCCTTTTTCTATAATGAATTTTATTGACCATGATACATAACCTCAAGATAAAAGACCATACCCTCCGTTTCTCTTCCTGGTAAGTTAACACGCATCCATTTGCTTTTAAAACACCATTGAAACAACAGGCAATCATAATAAATCGACAGAGGACAATTTGTGTCTGCCCTTCCTGATAATATTTATGACGTACAAACTTAGTTATTAAAAAGTTCCCCCCTACTACCACCTAATTTTTTTCTTTATGTCTGTTGTGTAATGCAACAAGACAAGATTTCCTGTTCACTAGAGCCCCAAACCTGCACAACCCCTTGACTTTGATGGGAGATGCATCAGACTTTAAACCCAACTGCAAATCTTGTCAAAAAACCTAGGTCTACCCCTGGAATGTTAATCTCTAGTTTTCTTTTCAGTGGGAAACTCTTTTCTCTTTTTTTAAAATCAAATTAGCATTTGAAGCCCTCAATTTGCATTTTGTCCAATCCAAGATTAAATTAGGTTTGTTTTTTTTTCTTCCCGTAGTGAAATAAGAGTAGTTTTAATTTAAATTTCTCTGTGAATAAAATTTTCCAGGCAGGTAAACACACAATAATTTTCACAGCATGTTCTTTTTCAAAGTATTTGGAGCGGGGGCAGGGGCAGCGAGAGAGAGAGAGAAAGTGTGTGTTGTGAAGGAAGTTGTTAATAAATTTGAATTTCAGCAGTAGCGAAAGGGAATATCCTTTAGCTACTCATGTGGAATAATTTGGTGCAACAATTAGACTATTGTGGGCATGATCATAGATATAATTGTGGTCATCAAAGCCAGTTTTTAGGAGAGGGTTTTTTGGAATAGTTTATTTTTCCATAATTAAACTCATGGTTGTGTGATTTGGAAATTAGCCCTCTGTGTCAATAGGGAAGTGATGGATTTAGTCAGCTGGCCCTATGGCTGTTGCAGTTCCTCCTAACCACTTTGCCTTCAACCAAAATATATTTGAAGGCCTATCCAAAGTCATGGCAGCCATTCATAATAAACATCCCAAAACTGGTGAAATGCAACTAGTTTTATATTTCAGTAGCAACCTGAGCTTCAGTTTGCAGAGGGATTTACTCTGGGCTGCAGGCCTTTTCATTAACTGGGGGCCCAGATTCAGGAAAATGTTGGGCATAGCTTCATTTCTGACTTACTGTGCCAAGCAACACCATGCTGAAACACATCACATGACTGCTTTTGGTACCTTCAGAGCTAGAAATAGGGTAGCCATGCTGTGATCAAGCCCATTGGCTCCATCTCACAGCAGAATGAATTAATTCCACTTAAAGCATCTCACTTTTTCAGTTAAGAAAAACATGTTGTTTTTTTTTTTAATGGTATCAGTTAAAAATAAGCAATAGAGGGAAATAAAAGGATTTTTAAAGAGTTAAATAGAATCACAGAGACCTAGGCCTGGAAGGCACATCCATAGGTCATCTAGCTCAATGCCTTTTCATGAAAAACATGAAAAGGAAGCAGAAATAGTTGTTACTGGTTGAACCAAAACAAAATTCTTCATTTAGCCAAAACACTGGAAAAAGAACCTGGTTTGGTCTGACCCTAAACCGTTTTTCCCCGTTTTGCTGCCAAGCCATAAAAAAAAAGGCCGTTTTCTATAAGTCTGAGGCAGATCCTTCAAATTGTGCATATACTGACCTGTGAAACTATAAGAGTTCGGCTCTTCCCTTTTGGTACCCCAGTCACTTCGATACACTATCATAGCTGTGCAAATCAGTGCAAGTGTTTGAACCAAGTCCCCCTGGTTTGGAAGGGAGAGTACTGAAGGCAGAAACTTTTAAGAAAGGATCTTTGACTTCCTTTCTCCTTAGCATAACAGATCCCTAATATATTAGCCTTTACATAATCCTGCAAGGCTAATTTGTATTGTGTAGTGTTTTCAGAGGCATATCAGATGGTGGTGGATGGTGCAGCCATTCAGTGTCAACTTCTGGGACTCTTAACTGTCTCCTTATTCCCTTGTAGCTGCTCAGTTCCCATTGTCCCTCCTGGCCCCAAACAGCTATTTTTCAGTGGTCCCACTAGGTTTTCTTTGATCTTTCTGATCCTGGGTCTTTGCATCTCACAGCCAGTTCTGTTGGCCCTTTGGGTGTTTCCATTTCAACTCTCCATAACTGCAGACAAGCTGCTGTCAGGTCCTGCTCTCCCCTCCATCCATCTCCCAAGATGTTTCCTCCAGCCATGTGCTTTCATATTCTTCCTTCTCAAATCTTGTACCTGATACCTTTTGCCCTCTTTGACTTCTTTTGTTCCTAATAATTGAGAGTCAGACTGGCTGTGTCTACATGAGACAATATCTTTTGACTACTGCGCAGTAGCGTTGCATGGCACGAAGCGTAGTAGTATGAGCTGCAGTGCAGTCAGCATCCCCAAAAAGCCATTCAGGGATGCTACTGCGCAGTAACTCCTTTAGTACTTGTGTATGCAAATACAGCACAGTCAGCATCTCGTGTCGACGCAGCCACAGTGCTTCTTAGTGGCCAGGAATGAAGCTGAATCCTTAACTCCATTGACCTACTTGTTGTCCTTAGGTTACCATAAGGGGCTCCCACTAGCCATACATTTCCATCTCCCTTGTAATCACTTAGTATAGGTTCTCTTATGGGCGTGTTTTCCTCCTGAGCACATCAGTCTTTTTCTGTCTTTGAAGTTAGGAACAAGACACATTTTGGAAACTATGCAGGCTGCAGGGCACCGCATCAACACTCTGTTTCTGTGTGGTGGGCTGAGGAAGAACCCCCTCTTTGTGCAGATGCATGCTGACATTACTGGTAAGCTAGACAGAGGAAGTGGGGGAAGGAGAGTAAACTGCTGTATTATTTTAGGTGTCTAAAAACTTTGTGTTTGGAAAAATAAATACTCTCTTTATATGGAACTCTGCTTGGCTGGTTGGCCAAAAACTGTGTAATGAAATGCTACTTCCTGAAAGTGGATTTTCTGAAACCTAAAGGCGTTGGACTGACACAAAGATGTGGTGGAAACAAAAGTATCTTGTCCATATTATTAACAAATAGGCTTCTCAGAAAAACACAGCAGTTCTTTGCTATTTCTAGGAGAAAATGCAGGAAAACTTAATGGCAAATTGGAATCTACCTAGAAACTTAAAAAAAAAAAATGTCCCATTAAATGGTGTAGCAGGGATGCAATTCAGTGTAAAAGTCTATGTTGGTTTAAATATTCTATAGAAATTATTCAGTTCTGTTAATTAATTAAACCAGATTCTGCCAATCTAGTCTTAGACCTTTTTTCTATAGAACCTGTTTGTTCTGTGAAAAATAATGTTGGCTTCATATCAGTTGAATAACCTTCCCCTAACATCCGTTGTTTATACTGAACATTTTCTTGATAACATAGTCTTTCTTATCTCAGTTCCTTGGGTGCTCATGTAATTCAGGTACTATAGGACCCAGTTCTGTAGATCTTTACTCCTGCTGTCTCTCATTTGATAGAATTTCACATAGATAAAGGGCCTGGTTTATATTTTTTTATAGGAGCAGATGACAAGCTTGCACTGCATTTATAATCTCCACGCAGTCTTCATAGGCACGGTATTGTCCAACATCTGCACATCAATTCAATATACTGTAAAAATTTAGAAAAAACAATATAGTTTACTTAAAAAGAGTTTATAGAAACCTTGAACTGTGTATGGGTTGGATGACTTTCAAATGAGGAATGGCCAAGCTGTTTTGGATAAATTTAAAGCTCAGATTTGGGGTATTCGGTGTGGAGATTTGAATTACCTTCACATCAAACACAACTTCTTACCTTGGTATAGGAAGAAAGATGAAAGTCTGCATTATGTAATTATAGTAAACGAAAGCAAAAACAGAGAAGCAAATGACATGGCCAAGACTTGTGTAGATGCAGTATATCATAGCGGTGCTTTCTGTTTGTCAAACACGATTTTATCAAGTCCACACCTTTCCTTATCTAACTAAAAGATAGCGTAAGGTGAGTTAATTGCAAATAGCCTCACTATTGGAAACTGCTTTGTGATGTCTACTATAAAAGCTTTATTAATAGGTATTCTGATTAAAATTTAATCAGGAGTCTCTGGACTGTAACTAACAGCCAAGTACAATTCCAGACAAAAAGGCCTTTTTGCAGTCCCGGAATTCTCCTGGTTTGTAAAATGTGTGACTGACAAGGGATGTCAGAGTTCATCTAACTGAAATGCTCTTGGTTCTGTTGAACTCATTAGAGCCTATCAGATAAAATAACTAACATTCCAGGATCAATCCCCCATTCTTTCAGGAAAAGAAAAAAATCTGAATATATTACTGTTCGCTGTAAGTGCCCATTCTGCTCAACCATGCAGACTATCAGCAGAGAAATTCACAGGCCACTTTTAAAGTATCAGTTGAAATGGCAAGATGAATATGTTCATTCTGAAGACTGGGAAATAGTCAAGATATTTTAAAGCATGCTGCAAGTTGCTCCGTACTTCAAAGGTCTACCAATACCGAGACTAGCGGTGAACTGACCTTTTAGTTTGTCCGGGCACATTCAGAGTTATAGGTCTAAATCCTGACCTGTAGTTGCAGATTTGGGGGAGGAATACAAAGATGGCCAATTCTAGAGCCACCCATATTGGACTGATGCCTTTTGGGAACACCTTAAAAAACTTTAGAGATTGGTCTAAATTACACATTTTACATAATTACATCTGCCTGGCAGCGGCCATTCCAGCAAGCAAGAATCACCAGGGCACAGGAAGCTCTGGCTAGATCCAGTTTGCCCCAGTCACTCCTTTTGTGCCAGCTACGAGGTGGTAGGGTAGTATGGAAGGCAGCTCCATGTACTGCAAGGGTCCCACTATCCAGGTTGTGCCCATGGGGAAGCGCAGATCTGCTATACTGCAGCTAAGTGTCTGGCTCCCTGAATGTTGAATGATGTTTTTTTGTATTAATAATTATGTTTTCCACTTTGAAGTATGAAGGAAAATCCATGAGGATATGCACAGAAAGTGTTCCCAGGCCCCATCATGTGGGCAGGCTTATGTAGAAGTAGCATGTAGCTTAGCAGTTTCAGCATCTTCTCAGTCACTTTTACTCCTTGCAGGCATATGACCAAACCCTGCTTTTTATTGTTAGAACTGGCTCATCCATCCACAGAAGCAAGCATTTCCTTCACCCAATCACAGATAATCAGAGAATTCACAAACGTATTCAATACTGTACAAATACCAACAAATCATTTGCAAAAATAACTTGCTAAGATAGCCTGAAGCTAGGAAAATAATTATATTTGCTCCCTTTCTATGTTTTTAATGGGCTGTGAAGAAAATGAAAACATTTGTATTTTCTTTGTACCCCCATATATTTTTTCTGCTTGATTTTTTTCACCCTGAACTGGGTGGAAGAGACCCATTGTTTTCCTGGAAGATTATGGAAGTTGGAAAACTAATAGATTTATGATATTAATTAGGTTATAAAGTCTAATTCAGGTAAAGAGGAAAAGATTTCATATAAGGTTTGAGAAAACCCATAGCTCATATTTTTAGACCTTTCAGCAATAACAGAAGATTAGACCCAGCACTTTTGTCCCAGCATATATATGACCCAGCATATATATGTAGGGAAGGGAAACTGGACTCTCTCACTTTTTTAAACTCTTTACATAGAAGCAAAAAAAAAAAGGCCACATCTCACTTTTCTTTCCCCTGTAGGTATCTTTTGTATAGTGGGCAAATGGTGTTGTTTGGGTTGGGAAGATATTTTTCAGTGCAATTTGTGTCACACATTTTAACGAAGTTGTTTTGTATAAATTCTGCATTTTGCTTAGAGCTTGGGGTAATTAAGGGAATCATTCTACACTGACCAGCAGTAGAAGCAGCAGCTGTGTAGAGTCTATGAACTTAGTTCATACACAGATTCGCCCAGCCTCCCTCTTTTTTTTAAACTGTGATTATTTATTGTGCATTGAGTGCTATGGTACTTCATTCTCCCTAACAGAGGTGTAATTCTTTCCTGCACAGGCAAGCCTATTGTCCTGTCCCAAGAAGTGGAATCTGTTTTAGTTGGTGCTGCTATTCTTGGAGCTTGTGCTTCTGGGGATTTTGCTTCCATACAGGTATGTAATAATGGAAAAACCTGAATCCCTCTGTCTTGAGGTTTGATTTGTAGTTTTTTTGAGTCTGGAATCATAGAAGGTTATAATTAAGCTGAAAAACAATTCTACACAGCAAGGAAGTTTCCTGCTTCAGTTATGCCTCCTGATTTTTTTTTCCTCTACCAGTTCCATATATGTATTGCTCCTGTGTGTTTGAGAGACATTTTCCTTTTAAATGTGGGGAGAAGTAAATATAAGTTACTCCCTATAGAATTACCCATGTAATTTGGCAGATGACCAAGCTAAGCCCTGGTCTAAAATGTGGTTCTTGTAGGTATAGAAAGACATCCACCCACATACAGCATAATGCAGGATCCAGTCCAAAGATTATTACCACTGTTAGCAAGACCACTCTTTCATCCCAAGTTATCATCTTTGTGGTTTGTTCTCCTTCCACTTCCTTAAAATCAAAGAATCTTAAACGTGTAACTATTCCCTGGCCAGAATAAACACAGTCTATATCTCTTAGCGTGCTTGTGGCTGGAGCTTAAGAGTATTTGCTAGTCTATATCTCTTAGCGTGCTTGTGGCTGGGGCTTAAGAGTAGTTGATCCAGATACTTAACTCTATTAATTATAACAGAAGCAGTAGTAGTAGTAAGGCTTATCCTCTGTGGAACAACTTCTGGGGGTGACACAACCACAAGCATGAAACAGATGCTGTACTGCCTCATGTAACACTGGTATATGTAACTTCCATGTGTACATAAAAGGCTATTTGTATATAGTGAGTTAACAGGACCACCTCTCTTTTAAGGGGCTCCTTTTGTAAGTGAGTACAGTTGCCATATAATAGCATTTTGGACTTGCGCTGAACTCACAGTTCCTTGGGATACTGGGCCAGAGTCTCATTCCACGTTCATTGACAAGGTCCCATTGAACTTGGAAGCAGATCTGCATTAACTGAGGATTTAGCCCAGGGTCTCACATGTTTCCAAAGGTCTGAAGGCTCTGCTGAGTGATATGGTTTGGCTTCCTTTAGTGAAAAGGCATTCACTGAAACATACCCCAGTGCAGCAAATTAAAATCTTGTAATAAATTGTATCTGTGTTGTATAATTGTACTGCTTATAGCTCAGGCTTGATAATTGTGATCAATGTAATTGATTTTGATAAAAGCTTCTGGTGACTGGGCTTCATACTAATTCTTGCCATTCTGTTAATCTTTTGAAGATTACTTTCTGGCTTTAAATATATGGGTGTTTAAAAGTTCAAAGTTTAGTCTGTCATGCAAACTGATACATGGTAAGAAAACTCTTCAGTTCTCCTCATAGCAAGTCTAATTGTGTAAGCATTAGTAAATCTTGTGTTGTAAAGTTGCTACTGGTCTGATACCTTTCCTTTTATGTGGTTTTATATAATGGTAACTTCTTTTTTTATTTTAAGTATTTTTTCTTACCCTCATATGCTTAAATATTTCAAAAGTACGACGTCCCAGAATGTAAAAACTGTACATTGTATTGAAGCCCATTCTTTCAAAAATCTTTCTTAGTTAAACTGTGACTGGACCCTCTTAGCTAAACAAATCAGGGAGCTGTTAATTTAAAACCTGTTTGTCTTTTGAATGAAAACACTATAATGACATCATTGCAGAAGTGTACACTTTTAATATCCTGAAACCAGTAACCCCTGTGGAGCCAAAGATATCAAGATGAGGCACTAGCACTTCTTGGTTGATCCTGTGAGTCTGCAGAATTTAAGACTAACACTGGAAAGGTTAAATACCTACATATATGGCACCTTCATCTATGTTTTGGCATCCAAGGAGAAATTATATAATCTGATGTGTTCAGTCCCCATCTCTCTCATTAGCCTCAAACGTGCAGAAATGTTTCTGAAGGTGTTATATGGTAATACTGTATTTCATACTGTTTGTGCTTTAACAATTTATCTGGATTAGCTGTTGCATTTTTGGGTTGGTCAGTGTCTTGCTTCAGTTTAAAATTCAAAATAATGCATCTGATCCTGTGATAAAGACAGTGTGTGATGGTAAGTTTCAAGGAATCGGTCAGAACCCCCGTGTTTTTGGCTGAAAGACTTCATGATGATCAAAATGTAAATGCAAGACAAACTAGCTTTATACTGTCAGACACATTGGAGAGAAACTTTTAGGGCATGATTTTCAAAACTGCTTGTGCACACAACTAAATTGCCAATTTGTATGTGCTCTTATTGTATTAGGTCATGTAACTGGTGGCTACTTTGATGCACTTAAAGGCATTTTGAGTGCAAAAATACCTGGTTTGAAAACATAATCTCAATAATTACATGGCTAGATTAGGCACATAGAAACTAGTGGGGTGAGTTAGCAAAAAGAACAGTTGCTTTCAGCCAGAATTTTTTTCCCCTTTGAATTATAAAAAGGACTCAAAAGAAATTAGTGTATGCAAAAAGGGAATAAATAGAATATTTCCAGTTGAAATTCAACCTAGTCCTATAGTCCTGGGTGGGAAGCCTGACTGCCCCAAAGGCCCCCTCCCCTCCCCTCCCCTCCCTTCCCTTCCCTGCTTCCAAGCAGTCATTTTTACCGTGCCCGACTCAAAGCTTATGTTAGCTGACAGGAGTGATTCCACTGATTTAAATGGGCGTTGGGTCTGGCCCATTGCATTTCCTCAAGGCATTTGTGCCAAATGGAAAAAGGTTCTTAGAGAATGCCAGTGTCTCTGTCTCCATAGGCGTCTGTGTCATGCTTATTGCTGTGGTATCTGAGTATCTTGTTCAGTGGGGACCAGTCTATGCCCATGCATCCAGTCCAGCACTGTGACATTCCTGCACCTTTGGCAAGACCCAACCCGATGTGTTTTCAATTAATATGTTTTTTGATGATAGCAGTTCTTTTATATGCATTGCTGATAGCTATAACAGTGGCAAGGCACAGCAAGGAATTAAATATTAAAAATATTTTTTAAAGAATCTACCCAGTGACTACCCCAGATCAAGAAACAAGAAAGTATGTAAATGCCATACTTTTTGGTTAACAGATATCCCATACTGTAATCCAATAGCTTCTCACTATGTTGGGCTCCTGATCAAAAGCCTCCCTACACCAAATTGGATTTTCCCCAATGAACTACCTGGGCATTTTGTCCAACTTGTTGTTTGTTATTCTTGGCAATGAGAATGGCTTGTTACACAGGAAGGTATCAAACTGTCCACCTAAGCACATTTTTTCTTACAAATTAATGACCTGCTCATAAAGGAGTATAGTACGTTTCTTTGGACGAGTCAGATTCCTGCTCTTAAATCATACAAGTGTCTACTCTTGATTCTTATTTTCCAAATAAGATATCTATATTTTTATCTCTCATGTGAGACCAAGGCAACGGGGAAAGTTAGTGACTCAGGGATTAAAGGAGATTTCTTTCAAAGTATCAGATTCCCCTATGGTCATTTTCTTTATTGACCACATCTGTATTAACAACTGAATTCTCAGTATCCTGCACATCTTGCAGGGAAGTGTTTGAAAGGTTACTACAAAATTTGTAACAGTCCAGGTTACAATCTAATTTGCTGGATTCCTTTGTGGGTTTAAAAGCCCAAGCTTTTATTCAAAACTGCAATGTCTTCCTTAGGTAATTCTACCAAGGAAAGATTTATAACATCCATCTCTGATGCCTGGTCACCACATGTTGTTCCTTCAAAGAACGTTGACTTCCCTATATTTCTCTTCATTTACCCCCTCTGCGATTTTTCTCCTCTGTGGTGAAAGGGAATTAAAATATTTGTCCAATCCAAAAAAACCTCCAAAACCTTAGAATGATCAGAATTATCCCCTCATTTCATCTTTTGATTATTTAGTCTCTAGACTCTCCTGGGGAAAGAAATCTTCGGGTTTTTTTTTCTCTCTCTCTTTGGCTCATCTTATGATTTGTCCCAGCCATTCATTTTTTTTTTTTCTCTTAACCAGCTAGTTTTGTCTCTTTAATGGTTAACTACAAGCTATAAAACAGCCCACCTGGGCCAGCACTGACACAGGAGACAATTCAGAGCAGTTCATCACCATAGAAAAGTCCATGATGTTGAAGGATTTTTGTTAAATTTGCACACAGTCTAAAATAGTCTTAGCACTGATGACTGAGATGGATCCAGGGTATGGGCTATAGTCATTCCTCTCATGCTGGGATCTCGGTTTGTCATTTATGTACATTTCTATATGATTTTTTTTTCCTATAGTGAAGATACAGTTTCTGGTTTCAAAGGCCAGTGGTTCCTTCTAGGTAAAAGTGTTCAATAAATATGTCAGAGTTTCAAGTATATCCTTGTTACTCCGCTTCAGCTATATGTAACTG